GATCTCTGTGAGTTCCAGGACAGCCAAAGACACATGGAGAAACCCTGTCTCAAAAAAAAAAAAAAAACCAAAAGTTAAAAATTTAAAAAAATAGAGCTTAAAATAAAACCACATAAAGATGGAAAATACACAGAGAATCTGATACTGTATATTATTGTGTTGTCTTTTAATTGTTTGATGGCTGAGGAAGGAACGACAGCTGCTATTTGATTATAAATGCTGCTGAATTAATCCAACATATGTATTTTGAAAATGCCTTGACTTCAAAATTTAAGAGATACGTTACTCTGAAGAAGAGGGTTTGCTTTTGTTTCCACAGGAAATAAGAGGCTGTGGATTCATTCTGGGCTAAGAAAAATCAGGTTTGGTCAAAGAAGACCCCCTAAAAATCTCTGATAGAAGCAGATGGCCCAGATGTCTGAGTTCTACATCCAGAACAGATTCAAGACTGCTGGCTGAGATGATCAAGCCTCACAGAATATTCTAGTCAGGACTTGACCATAATTCAAAATTTTCTTTAGGCCCCTGTAAGATTATCAGCGCCCCAATCACCAGGAACTAGCCTGGAAAACCAAACCCACATCCCCCCCAAAAAGGATTATGGATGCTTTTCTTTGTTTACAATGTTGGTTACAGGTTGTTATGGATAATGGTCAGGAATAAAGCTAAACAAAAGAGATTAAATTCAGAATTTTTGTTTTGAAAAAATACAAAAGGGGGGAGTGCTGTGGGACAATAATCTTGTACCCTGTAAAGATTTATCAGTTGTATTGCTTTAATAAAACACTGATTGGCCAGTAACCAGACAGGATGTATAGGCGGGGCAACAAGAGCAGGAGAATTCTGGGAAGAGGAAAGACTCAGTCTACGGTTGTAGCCCAGATGCAGAGGAAGAAAGATGAGAATGCCTCACTGATAAAAGTACCAAGCCATGTGGCTGACACAGACAAGAATTATGGGTTAATATAGGATGTAAAAGTTTGTAAGAAGCCTGAGCTAATAGGTCAACCAGTTTATGATTAATGTAGACCTCTGTGTGTTTCTTTGGGACTGAATGGCTGCAGGCTGGGCAGAACAGAAACCTCTGTCAATGGCTTGGGCCCTGGAAGCTACAGGTGGTGGATCTATGTGTTCAGCATCTTCCACCTTAGCTTTGATATGAGTTCATGCACATTCTGCCTGTAAAGTGTTGTAGGAAATGAGATTTAAAATGGGGTGATAGCGTCTAGTGAATCCCTAGGACTCACTGGCCATCCAGACTAGTCCAATCAGTTCCAGGAACAGTACCCAATGTTGTTTTCTCTCTCTCTCTCTCTCTCTCTCTCTCTCTCTCTCTCTCACACACACACACACACACACACACACACACACACACACACGCACGCACGCACCTGTGCATACACGAATAAGCTTGTTCTAGGGGAGTCATTGCTGTCGTGAAGCACCATGTCTGAAAGCCATGTTGGGGGTAAAGGGTTCCATATCACTGGTCCTCACTGAAGGAAATCGAGACAGGAACTCAAACAGGGCAGGAACCCAGAAGTGGAAACTGATGCAAAGGTCCTGAGGGGTACGGCTTACTGGCTTGCTCTTTATAACTTGCTCAGTCTGCTTTCTTATAAACCCAGGACCAGGGGAGGTGTCACCCTCAGTGTCCTGGGCCCTCCTCTATCAGTTGTTAGTTAACAAGATGTTCTACAGGCTTG